TGCTTTAATCTCTATTAATTACTTTAATGTGTGGAAGGAGGAGTTTTTTATAAAATGAAAGATTTACAAGAAAAATAAGGCACTCATATAGCTTTGTCAATTCATTTATTTTTTTCCAGGACGGTAGTGAGAACAAGCTTGGATCTGTTATGCCTGTTGAACAACTAGCTACCATTTCTGAACCAGTTATGATTGTTCCTGCAGTAGTTATTTTCCCCTATATTAGTAATGAAGTCCGCCATTCACTGCAATTAAAAGTAAGTAGTTGAATACGCTCAGTTAATTGTGTCATTCCTTAAAGCTCATATTTTCTCTGACATTAGTTCTTTGTTGTTTTAGAGAGCCATATTTGTATTTTCCCTTTCTTGTAAGTATTAATTTTTTATTGTTTAATTGCTCTTGATATTTAATTTCTTTCTTTTTTGTTCAGCTTAATTAATTATAGGCAGTTGGTGGTACCGGCTTTTTTTCTTGGAGTACCGAAGATAATGATATCGCACGTGTGAACGCAACAGGTTTTGTAACTTCATATTTTTCCGGAGAAACTGTGGTACGGGTGAGAGATATGAGGAATCCGCAACATTTTGCAACAGCAGTTGTTAAAGTGTTGCCGCCAGCTAAAATTTCTTTTGCCGAATCCGCTCTTGAGGCAGTTGTAAGCACTTTTCTGTTATGTTGTTTATAAATAGAATAATTAACACTTCTAAATTTACTTCTCCAATTTGGATTTGGAAACTCTATATAAATGAGATTTTTTTTGCAATCAGGTCTCGCTTTGCTTATACAATTTAATCGTCAGAAATTGTTTTTTTCCTCCTCTCCAACTTACTTCGGCTTTTTTTAAATTTAGTATTAGTTTATAAGAATTAGGATTTTCTTATTCATTTTTTATTTTTTCACATTTTATTGGTTTTGTTTTTGGCACACTGGTGATAGCCACAGGTCCATTTCTCTTCTTTGGTTGAATTTATAATATATTCTCTTTCATTGCTATTACTGTTATTGTTGTTATTATAATACTATTATTATTGTTACCGTTAATATTGTTATCAATATTATTGTTATCATTTATTGACTTAATGATTTCATTTTTTTGTTTTTTTTTTT